CCAGAAAGCCGGTCACTCAAATCCTCCTCCAGATCACCAAAAGAGCAGATAAAGATTTTCCAAACAATGGACCTTAATTAGGGTAGCTAAACCACTCAGGATAAGGCTTGGACTCGTAGTGGGAAACATGTAAAGAAAAAGCGCTCCACATAGTGTAAAACCATAATCACAACATGTATTTAAAGTACACCTGCACTCACATGTAAGCAAACAACATTAGGCATTGATTGCCAAAAAAATCCAAACTTTCCAGTTCCCAAAATGGCTGCCGGATGAGCGTGCATGTGCAGTAGCGTGTGAATGTGACTCTTCCCTACGCGTTTCGTCACAGGTAATGTCATCAGGGGCACAGCAAAGTGCAGTGATCAACATAGTGCCCCTTAAATTTCTCATCTGTGGGACGAAAAAAATACCCCAGTGATGGTACATATGGGTACACTCTGCCGTTTTACTCAGTACTGTGCTTGCATTTTACGACCCATTCATAAAATGTATGCTGTGATACGTAGCCTTTGGATTTCTTCTGATTAACACAGCAGAAACCTCTGTAAATTGGTGGAGAGCCGGTCACAGGAAATGTCATGGGTTCTACTCATGGTTTGTTTTTGTTTTTTTTTTGGTAACTCCCATTAATTTTAAGAAGGTACTTAGATTCCAGTTTAGTGGTAGGCACCTTTGTAAATGTTGTACGTCCTAAATATGCAGTATTATTATTTTCTTTTAAAGCTGCATTCAGGCCATTCCACTGCTTTATAAATTGACCCCTAAATTCACGGAAGTACTGCATGCTTTCACAGGATATTTTGAAAGGAGAGCATGCTATATCGCCCTCCTTTTCCATAATATCCTTAAGGGGGTCAGGCCGCCCCTGCTGGTGGTACATATCCATCTAGAAATAATGACAGAAAATAGAAGTATGTCTTAATACATTACTTTCTTGGTGCAGTAAGTTGGTACCGTTAGGTAACCAGCACTCTTTTTCCATTTTTTTCACAAGCAGGTGTGAATTTGTTATTTTCTGTAAAAATAAATAAATAAATGGTTTCATGAATTCCACCAGTGATTGGTTAGGAATCCTGAATTTGTTCTCTCCTATGATTCACGCTGTAGACAGTAGCCCTGCCTAATGGTAAAATCAGTGTTTCACATTCACCAGGAAGGCAAGCATACATGATTCATTTTCTTGTGTTCAACCAATAAAATTCCTTACAGCCGCACATTCATTGTGTATGGAGCAGGGGCGGACTGACAACTCATGGGGTCCCCCGGGAATAGGAGATCATGGGGCCCCCTGTGTCCCTGCCCACTCAAGCTGCACCCACACAAAGCCCCACCTACATATCACACTGCCCGCAATACATACGTTTGTCAAAGAATTTCTCTACAGTATGTTCAAAATAAATGTTTATTACACAAAATAAAGAAAAAAAAATTAAAGAGAACACAACAATGCTACATTTCAAAATGTTGGTTTTAATGAATTTTTCCTATTCCTTCCACTGACACCCAATGATAGGACACTATTCCTCCCACAGACACCAATGATAGGGCACTATTCCTCCCACAGACACCAATGATAGGGCACTATTCCTCCCACAGACACCAATGATGGGCACTATTCCTCTGACACCAATGATGGGCACTATTCCTCCCACTGACACCAATGATAGGGCACTATTCCCTCCCACTGACACCAATGATGGGGCACTATTCCTCCCACTGACCCACACCAATGATGGGGCACTATTCCTCCCACTGACACCAATGATATGACTTCCTCACTGACATGAATGATAAGGCACTATTCATCCCACTGACACCAATGATAGGGCACTATTCCTCCCACTGACACCAATGATGGGGCACTATTCCTCCCACCCACTGACTACCAATGACCAATGATAGGGCACTATTAATCCCACTGACACCAATGATATGACATTCCTTTCACTGACATGAATGATAAGGCACTATTCCTCCCACTTATACCAATGATGGGGCACTATTCCTCCCACAGACACCAATGAGAAGGCACTATTCCTCCCACTGACACCAATGATAGGGCACTATTAATCCCACTGACACCAATGATAGGACATTATTCCTTTCACTGACATGAATGATAAGGCACTATTCATCCCACTGACACCAATGATAGGGCACTATTCCTCCCACAGACACCAATGAGAGGGCACTATTCCTCCCACTGACACCAATGATAGGGCACTATTAATCCCACTGACACCAATGATAGGGCACTATTCATCCCACTGATACCAATGATGGGGCGTTATTCCTCCCATTGACACCAACGGTGGGATGCTATTCCTCCCCCTAATACTAAAGATGCATGGTTTATTCCCCCACTGATACCAGGACAATTTCTGATCCCAAAGACCACAGTCCAGCCCCCAAAAACCTGAAGGACAGTAAACTGGCCCTTTGATCTAAATTTGGGGTCTCAAACTTTCTAAACAAAGCATATTCATGTGTTTAGAATGGCCCAGTCACAGTCCAGACCGAAATCCAATGGAGAATCTGTGGCCAGACCTGAAAATTTCTGTTCCCAGACGCTCTCCATCCAATAACAGAGCTTGAGTGATTCTGCAAAGCAGAATGGGCAGAAATATCCCTCTCTAGATGTGCAAAGCTGGGAGAGGGCACGTCCCCAAAAAGACTTGCAGATGGAATTGCAGCCAAAGGAGGTCCTACAAAATACTGACTCCGGGGGGGGCCGAATACAAATGCCGCCACACTTTTTCACAGATTTATTGGTCACAAATGTTGGAACCATTTCTCATTTTCCTTCCACTTCACAATTATGTGCCACTTTGTGTTGGTCTATCACATAAAATCCCAATAAAATACATTGTCACATGACAACATGGGGGACATTTCAGGGGGGGAATACAGTGTAACATGACAACATGGGGGACATTTCAGGGGGGGAATACAGTGTAACATGACAACATGGGGGACATTTCAGGGGGGAATACATTGTCACATGACAACATGGGGGACATTTCAGTCGTGAGGAAGGACTTTTTCAAGCCACTGTATATATCACTGATATCTTGTAACTGAGTGCTATTCCTTATAAACACTGATATCTGTACACTGAGTGCTATTCCTTATATATATCACTGATATCTGTAAACTATGCTATTCCCTATATATAACACTGATATCTGTACACTGAGTGCTATTCCCCAATATATAACACTATTATCTGTACACTAGTGCATTCCTTAGGTCCTAACACTGATATCTGTACACTGAGGGCTATTCCTTATATATAACATGCGCATATCTTTTCACTGAGTTATTCCTTATATAACACTATTATCTGTACACTGAGTGCTATTCCTTATATATAACACTGATATCTGTGCACTGAGTGCTATTCCCTATATAACACTGATATCTGTACACTGAGTGCATTCCTTATATAACACATTATCTGTACACTGGGGCTATTCATATATATCAGGGGGGGAATACACTGAGTGTATTCCCTATATATAACACTGATATCTTACACTGGGCTATTCAGTGTAAACACTATTATCTGTACACATGGGGGACATTTCAGGGGGGGAATACAGTGTAATCTGACAACATGAGGCTATTTCAGGGGGGGATATACATTGATCATCATGACAACTGAGGGACATTCCAGTATGAGGAAGACTTTTTGTACAAGCTATTCACTTATATATAACACTGATATCTGTACACTGAGTGCTATTCCCTATATATAACACTGATATCTGTACACTGAGTGCTATTCCTTATATAACACTATTATCTGTACACTGAGTGCTATTCCTTATATATATCACTTTTATCTGTACACTGAGTGCTATTCCCTATATATAACACTGATATCTGTACACTGAGTGCTATTCCTTATATATAACACTGATATCTGTACACTGAGTGCTATTCCTTATATAAACACTGATATCTGTACACTGAGTGCTATTCCCTATATATAACACTGATTTATCTGTACACTGAGTGCTATTCCCTATATATAACACTGATATCTGTACACTGAGTGCTATTCCTTATATATAACACTGATATCTGTACACTGAGTGCTATTCCCTATATATAACACTGATATCTGTGCACTGAGTGCTATTCCCTATATATAACACTGATATCTGTACACTGAGTGCTATTCCCTATATATAACACTGATTATCTGTACACTGAGTGCTATTCCTTATATATAACACTGATATCTGTGCACTGAGTGCTATTCCTTATATATAACACTGATATCTGTGCACTGAGTGCTATTCCCTATATATAACACTGATATCTGTGCACTGAGTGCTATTCCCTATATATAAACACTGATATCTGTACACTGAGTGCTATTCCTTATATAACACTGATATCTGTACACTGAGTGCTATTCCTTATATAACACTGATATCTGTACACTGGGTGCCACTCCGTGTACAGATATCACCGTTTTATATAGGGAATAGAATAGAAGACTACTATTAACCCCTCGCCTACATGGCACTTATACCCCCTTCCTGCCCAGGCCAATTTCCAACTTTCAGCGCTGTCACACTTTGAATGACAATTGCACAGTCATGCAACACTGTACCAAAGACAGATCTTTTTTTGGTGGTATTTAATCCCCTCAGGGTTTTTATTTTTTTTGCTAAACTAACCAAAAAACTGAAAAATTTTGAAAAAAAAAGTTTTTTTTTTTCTTAGTTTCTGTTATAAAATTTTGTAAATGAGTAATTTTTTCTCCTTCACTGATGTGCGCTAATGAGGCTGCAGTGATGGACACTGATAAGGCGGCACTGATGGGCATTGATAGGCGGCACTGATGAGGATGCACTGGTAGGTGGCAGTGATGGGCACTGACAGACATCACTGATGGGCACTGAAAGGCAGTAACCATATATATGCAATGGATAGGCAGCACTGACTGGCACTGTTAGGTGGCACTGACGGGCACTGATAGGCGCACTGATTGGCAGCACACATAGATGGCACTGACTAGCACTGATAGGCAGCTCAGATGGGCACTGATATGTGGCATTTATGTGCACTGGTAGGCACTGATATGTGGCATTGATTGGCACTGATATGTGGCATTGATGTGCATTGATTGGCACTGACAGGTGGCATTGACGGACACTGACAGGTGACACTGATGGGGCTACACTGATCATCAGGGCACTGATCAGTGCCCTGATGATCAGTGCAGATGTCCCCTCTGAGGAATGCCGATTACCGGCTCTCCTCTGTCAGCGTGACAGTTGGTGAGGAGAGGAATGCCGATAACCGGCATTTCCTTATTTACATGCGATATTCTGTGATTGGACACAGCTGATCACATGACCGAGCCGACGACTTTGGCTCTTTCCGCTGATCAGTGATCCCGCTGTGTCTCAGGGACACAGCACACCACCGATCGTTGGAGCGGGAGGACGTCATATGATGTCCTCCCAGAACAAGGGAACCGCCACCCGTCTGTCATTTCCTTATATGTCGGGCGGAGGCGGTTAAGCTGCAGTGCTGTCAGTGTCACTGGGGTCGGGGGATTACACACCGACCTGCTGCAGGATACAGGGCAGGTCAGCACAACGATGACTGCGCCTCTTCTCTGGCCGCCCGTCCTGTGGCAGGGCTGTGGGACCCGACCCTCTGAGGAAACTCCGAGGAGAGGTGTCCGAAGTGCCTGCCGTAGCGCTGCCCCGTTGCAACACTTCCTTTTTTCCTCCTTTCAGCAGCGGCATATCCACAGGACGAACTGAGCCTCTCATGGGGCCCTCTAGTGACCTCGGGCCCTCGGGCAGTGCCCGAATGGTCAATCCACCCCTGGTATAGGGGAATCCTTCTAACAGAGTTATTGTATTCTGACAGCAGGGAGGCTTCCCCGCCATCAGAATACACTCATCAGCTCTGCTGGTTATAGCCCGAAGCAATGATACAACAGAAAGACAGACTTCTGTACAACCTGCCCATAGATGGATTGAAATTTGGCTGCTCCCGGCTGAACCAGCCGAATGTTGATCCATGTATGGCCGGCTTTAGACAGGGATGCTCTCTAACAGGGATCTGCAGTACGAGGGTGGCATTGTATATTTTACAAATATGCACAGGTCTATAAAAAAAGAGTTTTATAAATGTACAGTATAAATACAATTTAAACCTCAGATATGAAATATGAACAAAGCACAGCCCATATTGTGTACGTGTCTCAATCCAGAGCACATAAGTGTCATTTCTGTCTGCTGCCTTGTTCCTCTGTTATCTGAGTCACTTCTGACAAGTTTTCTTGAGACCAAGATAAAAAAGGTGATGGGGAGGGAACTGCTTTATTCTGCACTTTGAATGTAGAAAGGAGATGATACAGATAAACAGGTACAACTTTTGTAGGAGGATTTGTTTCATCTCTGTGTATCACCTGAGTCCAGTCACAGCTGTGAAACCTGAGCTTCAATTCACACCGCACGTGTGTGAATCAGCACTACATTTTACCATAGGCAACACTTTAAAAGACCCTACAGGTTTGGAGTTGACCGTGAATCGTGGCCCTAGAATTATTGCTCTCACTCCGGCAACATGTAAGTAGTGCAATCAATGCTTCAAAATTGTATGGGGCAGAATTGTAAGCGCTTAGATGTACGTTTCGTTTTTTTTTTTATCGCATCGGGCACAAAATCTCCCGTACAGGGGCGGACTGACAACTCATGGGGCCCCCGGGCAATAGGGGATCATGGGGCCCCTGTGTCCTCGCCCAAACTCAAAAAATCCTATGAAAAAGGTACCAGGGGCATCTCATGGGGCCCCCTACTGACCCCCGGGCTCTCAGGCAGTGCCAGAGTTCCCAAATGGTCAGTCCGCCCCTGCTCCCGTAGTGTAGAGCCACCCGTTGCTTCCATCTGACAGCCGTCAGTCAGCTTGTCATATTTACACACATTTTAGCTGCTGTGGCAGTCAGGAGTCATGTATGACATACATTGGTGAAAGGGTTAAATACGGCTTTACCCTCTGGACTGAATTAATCTTTAACCACTTCCCGTCCAGTCTATGTACATGAACAGCCGGACGGGAGCAGTGCCTAAGCAGATGGTCGTTTATAAATTGCCCCCGCATTCACTGCCTGTGCGCGCTCCCTGGGAGCGTGCGGGCACCACGCTCCTGTGCCTGCTGTGTCCGGAGGACACAGCTGAACACTGATCCCTGTACGGGACCTCTGTATGAGGTCCCGATCATGTGATCACTGATTGGCCAATCAGTGATCACATGAATAGTAGCAAGCAAGATGTCACTTCCTGACATCATTGCTTACTACTTGTGAAATCTGTAAATGATCCCAGAGGTCACATGGTACAAGGCTATTTGCAACAGGTCCCGATCATGTGATCACTGATTGGCCAATCAGTGATCACAAGAAGAGTAGTAAGCAAGTTGTCACTTCTGACATCATTGCTTACTACTTGTGAAATCTGTGAATGATCACAGAAGTCACATGGTACAAGGCTATTCGTAACAGGTCCCGATCATGTGATCACTGATTGGCCAATCAGTGATCACAGGAAGAGTAGTAAGCAAGTTGTCACTTCTGACATCATTGCTTACTACGTGTGAAATCTGTAAATGATCACAGAGGTCACATGGTACAAGGCTATTCGCAACAGCCATGTACCATGTGACAAGCTGTGACCAATCACAGTTCTCACAGTATTTCTCAATGGCTGCAAGAATGCAGCCAGAGAGAAGGAGAAATGATTGCTTTTACAGCCTTTATGGGTATAAAAGCAATCAGTGTAAAAAGAGAAAAAAAAAAAAAAATCTTCATCACGCCCACAAGTAATACAGTGTCACTATGATGACACTGTACTGCTAGGGTGACGGTATGTTAAATAAAATAAAAAAAAAAAAAACATAAATAGTAATATAAATAAAATAAAAAAGTGAAAAAAAATAAAGAAAAATTATAATTTTTTGGTTATAAACTAATTTGAGTTTTTTTCTTTTTAGAAAAAAAAAAAGATAGCTGAAGACAAGATTTATGAAGAAAGATTATTTATTTGCAAAATATTATCAGAAAAACACTTTCTTTTCAAAATGTTTGGCTGTTTTCATTTATATAGCAAAAAAATTCAAATCCAAATGGTGAATAAATACCACCAAAATAAAGTTTTATCTGTCTCAAAACAATGTTAAAAAATTCATATGGGTACAGTGTTGCATGACCGCGCAATTGTCATTCAAAGTGTGATAGCGCTGAAAGCTGAAAATTGGTCTGGACAGGAAGGGGGTGAAAGTGTCTGGACTTGAAGTGGTTAAAGTAGAACTAAAAGCAAAAGCAAAGGATTTTTTTTTCTCCCATTTGGTAGATTTTCCTTCACTTCACGTCACTTAGCCAAACATGGAAGTAAGAGAAAATATCACGTGACAATGATGTAAGGCGGAATGTGGTGATGTCATTTCTGACACGAACGGCCACAGCCATATTGGTACACCCAGTACACCCATATCAGTACATGTGATTGATGCCTTGTTTGATCTGTTCCCATGTAAGTGTGCATTTGTCTTTACCAGGGGCGGACTAACCATTTGGAAACTCCGGCACTGCCCGAGGGCCCGGGGTCAGTAGGGGGCCCCATGAGATGCCCCTGGTACCTTTTTCATAGGCTTTTTTGAGTTTGAGCAAGGACACAGGGGCCCCATGATCCCCTATTGCCTGGGGGCCCCATGAGTTGTCAGTCCGCCCCTGGTCTTTACAATAAATTTAATTAATTTACAATATTACACTATGGAAGCACTTTTTCTTGTCTCCCTGTGAGTGCTGTGAGCTGGCTGTTTTTTCTGGTCCAAGGAACCCCTGACAGGAGTTCTGTGCATTGGCTGATTTCTGTATCCAAAGATGAAAGATATATTTCCACCGGAGAGGGGGATATCATCCCTACATCGCTGTTTGGGATTCCACTTAAAGGGCCCCTGCAGTGAGTGTCCTGAAAGCCTTTTGGCCCCGTGGGGTCTGGTGCGGAAGTGAGGAGGCATTTTAGCCGGTGTGGGATTCACTAATCATTTACCTATCCACGTTGTTTTTTTTTTTTTTTTTGGATGCGTTTTTGTTGGACATTTTTGCACATGGACTTTATGTCGCATTTATGATTTTTTTTTTTTTTAGTTACGTTATTTATTTCTTCATTGTGTTATTGTATTTTATGTTGCATAGTAATACATATATTTGGTTTCACTGTGCGTATGCTGTTACACAGTTAATATTTATGTTAATATACATGAGAATTCATATAGTTTATTCTTTGTACCATTTCCTATGGATATTTCTATAGTTAGTTATATGCCGCCACCAGTGGCCTTATTTGGTAATGCACTTGTTTTTCATATTGCCTCCCTGAGATCTATGACACAGTTCCTTTGTATATGAAGCTCCTCCCTTCTTCTTGAGTACAGCACTTCCTGTGTCATGGAGGCAGCTAACAGTCCACATGTAACAGGGACACATGTATTCTGCATAGTACGCTACAGAAAGTATCATCTTTTGACCACATAATACTGGAAACCATTCATTCTGCTGTATCCTGTTGTCACATGTACAGAATAAAGCAACTTCTGGATGAACACAGTATTGGTGAGTTCAGCTATCTGATAAGGATTGTCCACAGTGATTATATCTGCTTATAGAGGCTAGGCAGAGAGGTCTCACAAGGGATAAATCGCTATCACAACAATCTGAGTCAGAATAGTGCGTTTGTATCACTATTTTCTATTTTATATTGGTTGCACTCTATATATGTTTGCCACATTTATTTATGGTATTTACCATATTTTTCGCTCCATAAGACGCACTTGACCATAAGACGCGCCTAAGTTTTAGAGGATGAAAACAGGAAAAAAAAATATTCTAAACCAATGGACTGCAGACACAGTACATGAAATGACCAGAGACTGCAGACGTAGTACAGGAGATGACCAGAGACTGCAGATGCAGATGTAGTACAGGAGATGACCAGAGACTGCGGACACAGTACAGGAGATGACCAGAGACTGCAGACACTGTGCAGGGGATGACCAGAGACTGCGGACATACACCCTTCTCCAAATTATTATGCAAATGATATTCTTTTCATTTACCTAAATAATTGATGTAAATAACAGTCAGCATAATTCTCATGTTATCAACTATTAGGAGTACAATTCACATTTTATTGAACAAACCTCATGATAACAGGATTTTTGTTCCAAATTATTCCGCACAGTAAGTTTCAAAACACTTTATAGGTTGTAAAAAACTGAAAATTTGTCATTTGTTGTGTTTGCAGCATATTTACTGAAATCAAAAGCTATTTCAATCAAACTTTTAACAACATTTTACCTTTTTAAAACATTTTAACAGGTCACGTTACATTGTAACATAGGACCCCTTGTTTGATAGTAGCTTCACAAGTCTTGCATCCATTGAACTTGTGAGTTTTTGGACAGTTTCTTCTTGAATTTGTTTGCAAGATGTCAGAATAGCCTCCCAGAGCTGCTGTTTGAATGTAAACTGCCTCCCACCCTCATAGATCTTTTGCTTGAGGATGCTCCAAAGGTTCTTAATAGGATTGAGGTCAGGGGAGGATGGAGGCCACACCATGACTTTCTCTCCTTTTATCCCCATAGCAGCCATTGATGCAGAGGTATTCTTTGCAGCATGAGATGGTGCATTGTCATGCATGAAGATGATTTTATTACGGAAAGCATAGTTCTTCCTTCTGTACCAGGGAAGAAAGTGGTCAGTCATAAACTCCACATACTTTGCAGAGGTCATCTTTACACCTTCGGGGACCCTAAAGGGGCCGACCCGCTCTGTTCTCATGATTCCGGCCCAAACATGACTCCACCACCGCCTTGCTGACGTCGCAGCCTTGTTGGAACAGGGTGGCCGTCCACCAACCATCCACTACTCCATCCATCTGGACCATCCAGGGTTGCACGGCACTCATCAGTGAACAGGACTGTTTGAAAATTAGTCTTCATGTATTTTTCTGCCCAATGCAGCCGTTTCTGCTTGTGAGCATTGGTTAGTGGTGGCCGAATAGAAGGTTTATGCACAGTTGCAAGACTCTGGAGGACTCTACACCTTGATGTCCGTGGGACTCCAGAGACACCAGCAGCTTCAAATATCTGTTTGCTGCTATGTAATGGTATTTTAGCAGCTGCTCTCTTGATCCGATGCATGGATCTGGCAGAAATCTTCCTCAATGTGCCTTTATCTGCACCAACCCATCTGTGCTCTGAATCAGCCACAAATCTCTTCATAGTGCGATGATCACGCTTAAGTTTTCATGAAATATCGAATGTTTTCATACCTCGTCCAAGGCATTGAACTATTTCACTCTTTTCAGCAGCAGAGGGATCCTTTTTCTTCCCCATATTGCTTGAAAATGGTGATCTGCTTAATAATGTGGAACATCGTCCTTTAGTAGTTTTTCCTTAAATTGGGCTCACCTGTCAATCTAATTATCACAGGTGTCCGAGATTGTTTTCAGTGATCAAAAGAGCCCTGACACACAATGCCATCCATGAGTTACACTGAAAAACAAAATAATTCATCTTTGTGACACTTAAATAGAATTTGCAAAATAATTTGGAACACGGTATACTACAGGAGATGACCAGAGACTGCGGACACAGTACAGGATATGACCAGAGACTGCGGACATAGTACAGGAGATGACCAGAGACTGCGGACACAGTACAGGATATGACCAGAGACTGCGGACATAGTACAGGAGATGACCAGAGACTGCAGACACAGTACAGGAGATGACCAGAGACTGCAGACACAGTACAGGAGATGACCAGAGACTGCAGACACAGTACAGGAGATGACCAGAGACTGCAGACACAGTACAGGAGATGACCAGAGACTGCGGACACAGTACAGGAGATGACCAGAGACTGCAGACAGTACAGGAGATGGACCAGAGACTGCAGACATACTACAGGGGATGACCAGAGACTGCGGACATAGTGACAGAGACTGGTACAGGGATGACCAGAGACTGCAGACCTTTGGAGGAGAGGACCAGGGAGCGGGGTACCAATTTGACAGGAGATGACCAGAGACTGCAGACAGTACAGGAGATGGACCAGAGACTGCAGACATACTACAGGGGATGACCAGAGACTGCGGACATAGTACAGGGGATGACCAGAGACTGCGGACCTTTGGAGAGGGAGGGGGAGCGGGTACCTGAATTTGACAGGTAGATGACCAGAGACTGCAGACAGTACAGCCAGAGACTGCAGACATACCAGGGGATTGCAGACATAGTACAGGGGATGACCAGAGAGAGGACCTTTGGAGAGGGGGAGGGGTACCTGAATTTGACAGGTACCCGCTCCCACACTTTCGCAGAGTTGCCCTCCTTTAGTGTGGGCACCCGGCTGATAGCCGGGTGCCCACTGCACATGTGCAAGAAGTGCTGTGCTTTGTGAATGGTCCGACGTCTTCTGGGACCTGTCTTGTGTCCCAGAAGACGCTGCACCAGTCACAAAGCACAGCACTTCTCGCACATGCGCAGTGGGCACCTGGCTGTCACAGCCGACTGCCCACACTAAAGATGTCGACGCGCAAGACTGTACAGTGCTGGACCGAGGAACAGGTAAGGTTCTACTGCAGAGAAGAGACGAGCGGCCGGCCCGGTATTCTGACATGGCGGCGGCAGTAGGAATACCAGACCAGCCACTCCATATTCGCTCCATAAGACGCACTGACATTTTCCCCCCTTTTTTGGGGGGGAAAAAGTGCGTCTTATGGAGTGAAAAATACGGTATATGGTCACTTATTAGTTGTTTTATGTCACATGGCCTTTTGATGCACATTGTGTTATGACCCTTTAGTCGCATGGTCACATTTTTTGGCCTCACTGTGCGTTATTATTGTCATTATTCTGTGATAAGTGGTTTGTCCGCTTTTATTATGTAAGCACTTCATTTTGTATTTTTCACATTTTGCTCCACTTCTTCATCAGTTGTATTCACGTTATTTCATTTATGTTATAACGGACTCATATGTCTCACTATTACTGTGATTTAGTTAATAATTTATTTGTCCCTGATCATTTCCGTGCGTTTTGCCCACATTCACGGTTTTATTGTCAGTTACACCTTTTGGTCCTCATTTTGGACCTTTATTATTTCACCTTTCCCTGCTCTCTCTACTGATTATGGTGTATTATCTATTGTCTTCTCATGTCATTATTTGTTTTGGAATGTCTGTGGCATTATTGTGATTAGCGCAACATCAATTTTCTGTGGGATCATGGGTCTATGGGATCATGGGTCTGTACGCTACAGACTGGGATCATGGGTCTATGGGATCATAGGTCTCTGGGCTACAGACTGTGGGATCATGGGTCTGTGGGATCACATGGGTCTATGGGATCATGGGTCTGTGGGCTACAGACTGTGGGATCATGGGTCTCTGTGCTACAGACTGTGGGATCATGGGTCTCTGGGCTACAGACTGTGGGATCATGGGTCTATGGGATCATGGGTCTGTGGGCTACAGACTGTGGGATCATGGGTCTGTGGGCTACAGACTGTGGAATCATGGGTCTCTGGGCTACAGACTGTGGTATCATGGGTCTATGGGATCATGGGTCTCTGGGCTACAGACTGTGGGATCATGGGTCTCTGAGCTACGGACTGTGGGATCATGGGTCTATGGGATCATGGGACTGTGGGATCATGGGTCTATGGGATCATGGGTCTCTGGGCTACAGACTGTGGGATCATGGGTCTATGGGATCATGGGTTTGTGGGCTACAGACTGTGGGATTATGGGTCTGTGGGCTACAGATGTGGGATCATGGGTACTGTGGTAGGTACCTAAACAATCTGTCTTGCTCACTCCTGGGATGGACTGTGGGATGATGGGGAAGTGTAGTGTGCACAGTAGCCGTGTACATATTTTTGGAGAATAGGGATACTGTTTAGTGTCACTGCAATGTGAAGGTTTTTGATTAAAAAATAAAATCTTCCTTTTTTTGTTGTCCCCCTCGGCCTTTCCCTCTTCCTCCTTTCTATCTTCATTTTTGTTGCCCGGACAGCCCTGCTTGGACATCACTGAGCTCAGTGTTTTGGTGTTGATGACATTTCTGGGCTAGCATGTGTCCCCTTTTGTTATTTGTGTGCCACATCCGTCCTCCGGGGTCACCCGCCTATTAGGGACTCGAGAGGGACCGATGCCAAAGATAGCCGGGCAACTAGGAGATCAACAAAGGATTACACAAGTCTCTGACAACAGGTTTGCTTTCATTGTCAATTATATTTTTTAAGTGCTTTTTTTTTTTTTTTTTTTTCTTGTGTTTTTGCTCTGCGGGGGAGGTCTTCCTCCTTTCCCACCTAGGCAAGAATGACATTGTACACGCGGGGTCCAGGCAGAGATCTTCGGCACATCAGCACACACACACGATTCCATGCACAAGCATGCAAGGACAGCAGGTTGGAGGAGGTCCAGGACCATCTTCATTGCACTTCGCTTTATTGTTATGCTGTGCTCAGGCGGCTTTCCTTTCTATATACCCCCCCCTTTGTTATGGAGCCTGTTGCCCCCCCTTCCCCCTAAGGTTCTCTCCTTTCTATGGATCCCCCCCCCCACTATATTTCTGGACTCGCTGTTTAACATTTTTTTCAATAAAACTTTTATGGAGGAAAAAAAAAACCTGTCCGTTGTTTCTGATAGGTGGGGCTTTAGCAGAGGGAGAGGCATCGGGGGGAGGGCAGGCTGGGTGGAGTCTGGTTGTATGAAATACACGCTGGCTGGAACCGGTTCTGCAGTCCAGGATATTGAGGACAAGGAGGGGTCCTGATTGCTGCTTCCATAATAGTCAGGTGCCGGTATGCCGGGGGCAGAACACATCGATTTTCTTCTCCCTGGTGGTAGGTTGGTGGTATAAAACTAGTCCTGCACCAAAACTGAAAATTCAGGATGTACTTGGCCGAAAACCGGAATGGACAGTTTTTATAAAATATACATATTTCTTCCAGATAATTGTATTCTATTCCACTTTTTAATTAATATCATGAATTTAGATGAATATGAATGTAGAAAATACAACCCAGTAATGTAAAATAACTTTTATTGAAAGGAACACAAAAATTGGAGGGGAGTTTTTGCATTGAAGGTTGGGGGTGGGGTCAGGTCTCCCAGCTCTCCCCTGGCTCACCTGGATGGGGGCGGGGTCTGTCTCTCACCTGGATGGGGCGGGGTCAGTCTCCTTGGTGGGGGCAGGTCAGGCTCTCCTCTGGGATGGGTCAAGATCTCAGCCAGTGGGGGGGGTCAAGATCTCGGCCAGATGGGGCAGGGTCAGGTCTCACTGGTAGGGAACAGGGGCAGGCTCTCCCCTGGCCGGGGGGGGGGGGGTCAAGCTCTCTGCCAGGTAAGGGGGGGTCAGGCTCTCACCCGGTAGGGGGCAGGGTCAGGCTCTCACCTGGGTGGCGATGGTCTCCCCTCCGGAGTAGTTGTCAGTTCTCTCCGCGGTCCGGTTCCCAGACCCCTCCCAGTCAGGGATGGGGGGCAAAGTACGGGGGGGTGGGTTCAGGAAGTTGGTGGTCTGTAAGATGCCCACACTCAGACTCCCCCCCCCCTATTGAGCTCATGGGGCCCCTTATTGTAACCCCGCTCCCAACCTGTCCCCCCCTCCCCCGACACAAACCCAGCTGTCCCCCCACTGTCATCATGGGGATTCCCCCCATCTCCATATCATCCCACACATCGTCCCAGCAAAATTAGGGCCGCCCACATCTCTAGACTCCGCCCATCAAGGCCATTGATATTTGCATAACTCCTCACACTGCTTGCATCAGGAGTGGGGGCTCCTGGAGGAATACTAATATGTACAGCCCCCTTCTGGCCCCTTCCATCAGCCATCATTTGAATGCATTGCATAGAGAAGAGCAGAGACCCAGTGACAACATCATTGGGCCTAATATACAGTCTATACTGAAAATGGAAAGGTTTGATCATTTATTGAGCAAATTGTTGGGGGAGGTTCAGCAAAAAGAAGCTGGCATTCATCTGATATGAAGTGTCCACGCCTGACTGGCAGTGACATGGACACCTAAAGAAGGACCCTTCCAGGACGGAAACAGAAGAGAAGGCCCAGGCTGGCATTCATCTAATATGAAGTGTCTACACCTGACTGGCAGTGACATGGACAGCTAAAGAAGGGCCCTTCCAGGAAGTCAATAGAGAAGGGCCCAAGCTGAGGTGTCATTCATCTAATCCCAAGCCTGGGGGGTCACGTTACCACGGTTACAGATAAGTGAAAAGAGCATTTGGAATGTTATGTTACCAAAGAGCGATCAGTTGGGGGGGTGGGGTATAATTTTCATGGTGAAGCGTTGTGGTCCGTGGTTTGTATCACATACAGTTGGGAGGTTCCAGTGGCTATAGACCAGAAGGCCCCAGGCTGGCTTCAGATGTCCCTGATTGGCAGGGGCTGTCCCTAATTTTCGAGGGGCTGAGAAGGCCCGAGGCTGGCCCTGATTTTGAGAGGCTGTCTCTGAGTTTCAAGGGCCTGTCCCTGATTTCGAGGGGCTGTCCCTGATTTCGAGGGGCTGTCCAAGCCTGATTTTAAAGGGCTGTCCCAGATCTGGAACAAAGTCCCTCTGTCCCTCCTTCCTCCTCATTTGTGGGGTCATTTTTATCAGATCCGTTGTACTCGTGGTTTGTATCAATACAGTGAATTGTGGCTATAAAATGACCATTATCTTTCAGAAAGTGTTTCCCGGCGCTAAACCTTCCATCCGGTCTCTACATTGTTACATTTGTGAACGTCACACGCCGGTATAAAGAATAGTAATGGTAAAATAAAAGCATTTGTGGGTTTAATTAATCTTTTTTTTTTTTTGTTTAATTCTCCTTTAGGTGGGCGTGGCAGGGGTGGGGTGTGGCAGGGGGTGTGTCCTATGCCTACATACTTTGGTATCAGGTGTCCCTGGCTCCTATGACACACAGTTGGGAGGCGTGGCTATAGAAGGATTTTTGTTTGAATCCCCGGACTGCTGACTGACTCCCCTCCTCCGATGGAAGGCTGTTCCCAGCACTGACTACTCTTTCGGTAAAATAATACTTTCTAAGATTAGTATTGAACTCTCCTCCCGCTAGTTGGAGGTCGTGTCCCCGTGATCTTGGCTTCATGAACCCCATCCACCCCCTAATAGGTATCAATCACTGTCTCCCATCTTCCTCCTCACCTCCAGACCACACAGACCCCCTTCCTGATCATTGTTGATCATCTCTGGACATGAAGGTGTTCCTGTCTGTCCTCCATAACGGTGTACACTTCCC